CAGGGATGGAGCCTCCAGACCCCACAACCCAGACTTACTTTGTCAGAAACCCTCTTGCTGGGGGCTGGAGAGATGACTCAGTGGTTAAGAGCACTGGCTGCTCTTCCAGAAGACCCAGGTTCAATTCCCAGCACCCACACGGCAGCTCACAACTGTCTGTAACTCCAGTTCCAGGGCATCCGACACTCTCACCCAGGCATACATGTAGGCAAAACATCAATGCACATAAAATGAAAATAAATAAATTAGAAAGGAAAGGAGGGAGGGAGGAAGGAAGGAAGGAAGGAAGGAAGGAAGGAAGGAAGGAAGGAAGGAAGGAAGGAAGGAAGGAAGGAAGGCTCCTGTCATATATCATTTTTATAAATGGACCTAATATTATTTATTTATTTGTTTGTTTATTTATGTATTTATTTATAAGCTTTGCATGCATGTGTACCATATACCTACCTGGCGCCCAAGGAGACCAGAGGGCATCAGCTCTCTGAAACTGGAGTTACCCAGGGTTGTGAACCATTATGTGGGTTCTGAGAACCAAGCCCAGGTCCCCTGCAACAACATCAGCAAGCGCTCTTAACCACTGAGCCATCTTTCCGGCCCCAAATCATTGTTTTTTAAAGAGTGCCAGGAGTAGTGGCTTACAACTTGAATCCTAGCATTTTGGAAGCAGAGGCAAGCGGATCTTTTGTGAGTGTGAGGCCAACCTGGTCTACATGGTGAGTTCCAGGCTAGCCAGGACTGCAGTGTGAGACCTTGTCTAAAAAAAAAAAAAAAAAAAAAAATGCCAGTAGGAGGCACAGCCCTACCCACTCAGAAAGCCGCAGGAAGTTCACTCCCAGCACTGCCTCTGCCAAGGCCGATTCAAACACCAATTCTGTATCAACTAACCTCTAACCATCCCCTGTCATGGGTTGATCTAAGAGAGGAAGAAAAAAGGGAGGCTGACTTGAACTTGTCACTTGAGAGAACAGCATGCCTCCCACCTTTATGGATAAGCTCAAGGCCTGGGACATCCTGGTCACTGAGTGAGGCAGGAGACTGAGCCTGCCTGGGGCTTTGCTCTCGATTCATGTACAGCCTGGGTTTTATTTGCTCCTCGAACATCCAGAAACATCCGGGAGCCAGCTGATCCCCTCGAGGAAAAGCGACTTCAAGCAGAACTGAGACTTGTAAACAGCTGTGGGGTTTCACGGAGGGCAGAGGGTGATGAAAACCTCTGGTGGATCCTATGGCTTTGATCAGGGAGGAGAAGGGTTTCCCACAGGCGGGGTAGCGTGGATCAGAGGAGGGATTTGAACCCAGGCCGAGTGAGGCTCAAGCTACTTTACTCCTTAGTGTTTCATGCAGGAACTTCTGGATGGGCGGGATCAGCTGACGGTTGGTTCCCCGCTGTCTGGGGTGGGTGGGTTGCCTTGATGGGAAAAATACCCAGACCTAATCCTGCTGCCAAGAGCATGCATCCAGCCAGTCTGGGGCTCTGTCCTTCCAGTCTGCCTGGACTCTGTCCTGCCTTAACTAGCCTGACCACGCAACAGCCAGATTTGTTCTAGAATTAGCCAGACCATCTCCTAGCCCTTCCCTGAGGCCCTCTCTCTTGCAAGCACCCAGAGCCAGGTTTAAGCCCTTTTCCAGCCCACGGGAATGCCTACTTTGTAAACAGTCCATATAGCCTCATACCTGGGTTGTTATGCTTAGTCTCAGCCAGGCCCTAAGATGGGGGGCAGGGGCACCCATGAGACTGGAAACCCACAAACTAAAAATTGATCTAGACAAGGCTTGTGGGAAAGAAACCTGCTTCACAGAATGAAACTAAACGTTTCTCAGACTTCCTGGACCACAGAATCTCTCCATGGACAAGCTTACAGGATAGTGGACCACGGGGCATCAGTCTGAGGCAGGTAGAGGAGAGATGAATAGTTTCCACCCTAGGAAGTTTCACAGCTCAGGGAACTCAGCCCTTCTCTTCCCACTTCCATCCTGCCAGGACAAAAGGGACATCAGAAGCATGTCATTAAGCCAGGGAGATCCATCTGACTACAAAGCAGGATGTCCCTTCCTCTACCTACCTCTCAGCCCCTCCTCCTCAGTGGCCACTGACTCCTAGTAAACACTCTCCACCCAGCAGTCTCTCTGAGGCCCAACCACTCACCTAGAAGGGGAATTAATTCAGAGACCTTTCTTATCCGGCCTCATCAGAGATAAGCCCAGAACCACCTCAGCAGGTCATGGCTGTGGGTCAACTCTGTCCTAAAGATAATTGCTGCTGGGCGGTGGTGGCGCACACCTTTAATCCCAGCACTTGGGAGGCAGAAGCAGGTGGATCTCTGTGAGTTTGAGACCAGCCTGGTCTACAGAGATCTAGGACAGGCACCAAAACTACACAGAGAATCCCTGTCTCAAAAAAAGCCAAAAAAAAAAAAAAATTTAAAAAGATGATTGCTGTGGGTCAACTCTGTCCTAAAGATCAAGACCCCAACACTCCCTGTTTCCAATTTAGTCAGGTCCTTCTCTACCCACACTGCCTACCTCCCCTCATGTTCACCACATCCAAACTAGATCCAAATCCTCAAGTATTATTTCCCCAAGTGGCTCTCCCTAATGATTTCCACTACCCCCAGCCCAAAGATGAACATGCCCCCTTCTTGGCTGTGAAGTGCCAGAATTCATCCATTATCTGTCCCGTTTGTTTCTCCTTCCTCCCTCGGGTGACAGGTTGACATCCCTCATCTGCAAATCTGAAGTGCTCCAAAGTTGGAAACTTTTTGATTATCAGCATAACACCCAGCTGGAAAATTCTACAGTGTGACATTGTTCTTAGCAGACAGAACTATTAATAGCATGCAAAATTACCTTCAAGATATGCAGATAATATGCGAATGAAATATAAATTCATTTCATGTTTGCACTTGGGACCATCTCCAAGATATCTCATTATGTAAATGCAAACATTCCAAATACAAAAAAGAAAAATTCAAAATACATGTGTCCCAAGCCTTTTGGATGAAGGATACTCAACCCGTATTTGCATACGTCTGCTGAGCTATTATAGGGACGGGACCCAAGTCTAAACACAAAACCCCTGACATGTCAAGTACACCTTATGCCCAGAGCCTGCTGTTAATGAAATACTTTGAATAACTGTGTGCATAAAGCAAAGTTTCACCACATGAAGGAGTCCACTGGTTGGGCATTGCGTTGCTACTTGAAATTTCAGATTTTGAGACAGGGTCCAGTGTAGTTCAGTCTGGCTTTGAACTCGTTATGGAGTTGAAGATGACCTTACAATTATGGATCCCTCTGCCTCCGCTTGCTGAAGGCTGGGATTCCAGGTGTGCCTGGTTTTGATGTGGTGCTGGGGATTGAACCCAGAGCTTTGTGCACGCTAGGCAAAGACTCTACCAACCAGGCTGCAGTCACAGCCTGGAGCTCAGGATTTCTGAGGAGGGATGTTTGATCCAAGCATTCCCTGGCCACGTGTTCAGGCCTCACTCGTGTGCTCGAGCCAGGGGAGGAAACTTTCTTCCGGGCTATCAGAGACACTTGTGTAGAACACACATTAAACATGCGGCCATCAGATTATATCGCCAGAAACGGGGACAAATGACCTGACTCTAGGATATAAAGAAACCTGGAAGGTTTAGTGGAAGAGGAGGTAACCAAGCTAGAGAGAACGGTGGCACATGCCTTAATCCCAGCACTCGGGAGGCAGAGGCGGGCGGATCTCTGTGAGTTCGAAGCCAGCCTGGTCTACAGAGAGAGTTCCAGGGTATCCAGGGCTGTTACACAGAGAAATCGTGTCTCGAAAAACAAAAACAAGCAAACAGGGACTGGAGAGATGGCTCAGCCCTTAAGAGCATTCATTGGCGGCTCTTCCAGAGGTCCTGAGTTCAAGTCCCAGCAACCACATGGTGGGTCACAGCCATCTAGAATGGGATCCGATGCCCTCTTCTGGCCTGCAGGTGTACATGCAGGTAGAATACCACATACATAAAATAAATAAATTTTAGAGAAAAAAAAAAGGGAAAGATATGCAGAAAGGAGAAGGTTAAGCCAGGCAGCGGGGACAGGGTAAGTAAAGACTCAGAAGGGTGGGGCTGCAGGCAATGCTCCTGGGGTCAAAGGTGAAGTACATGTTAAACTGATACATATGGGGATGAGGGGACAGTAGTGACAAAGACAGGGGACAGGGGCTTGCAGTGACCAAGCAACCCTGGTCTGCAGAATCCCCACATGTTGTATCCTTCTAGCCCGAGAAGGAGGCAGGGTGAGACTCGTTCAGTCTTAGGGTCAGTGGCCCTCTGCAGACACCCCGGGGGCCTGGCGGTCCTAAGATACCCTACTCTCAGCCCTGGCCCCAGGATCATGTAGCTTCTCTCAGTCCTCGCTGTCCCATGCCACAGCCGAGTGCTCAGCCTTCCGGAGTCATCCAGCCTAAGTGACAGCTGCTCACGTCAAGCTGGCTTCGGGGAAACCCAAGTGTGCAGAAGTGTGCGGGACCACAGCAGCCTCCAGCCCTGGGCACTGTCTTTCTCTCGGACTCTCAGCTCTGCTTTCTTCTCCGTGGCTCTCTCTCTCTCTCTCTCTCAAGCCACATGGGGGGCCAAGGAACCCTGGTTCAATCCCCTTGGGGGAAAAGAGCCCTATTTCCCTTGAGAGCACCGTTTGAAGTCCCAGGCATGATGCTCATGGCTCAACTGGCACCCCAGGCCTGCACCTGTCATCTTGACAAGAATGCATGGTCGTTGCCCACCCTCAACAGTCCCACTTAATGATGGGGAGGGCTTTAGAGAAGAATTGGGGTTCTCTTATCAGAGGAGGGGATTCTGAGTGGCTGACTACACCCAAATGCCCTTCCCCCACTCCCTACCCGGGCCACCTGGGATGTACCCTGACCTCAGGACTCAGGAGAGGCTTTGATTTCTTGTCACTATATAATGCACTGGGGTCCTAAGACGTGGAAGGAATGTTCCTGTGTGTAACCCTTGCTCTCTCTCATGTTCCAGGGACCTCTGGGTCTGGACGGCAAGCCAGTAAGTCACCACGACAGTACTAAATGGTCCTGGGGTAGGCTGCCACTGTGGGGGTGGAGTGACCATGGGACACCAGAAGGGACTGGGAAGTTAGTTCAGCAGCTATAGTGCAGCGAGACAAAGCCACTTGTCATGTGAATTCAAATCCATCGCCACCACCTGCTGACTGAGCAACCATGGAGATGACCTTTCCCCTTCTTCCCTCTAAGGAGAGCCTAGGAGGTGTGAGGGAGTTATAAAGAACCACGGGCAGCACAGTTCCCAGCATTTAGTCAACCTTCACAATCTACAAGTCTATCTCAACAGGCCCTAGACACAGAATGTCTAACACATTCTCAAGACTTCCATGATGGGCATCAGGCTGGGAAGTTCTCAATACCTGTTCCAGGAGTCCACGGTCCACAGGCATCCTCAGCAGATGAACAAGGTGCACAAGGAAATATATGCACAGTTAAATAAATAACAGGGTGTGGGTGAACCAGTAGGCAGATAGGTGTGCTGATAAGGTGGGTGGTAGATGGATGGACTAATGGATGGGTGGACAGATGAGTGGGTGGTTGAAAGGATGGATAGATGGGTAGATAAGTGGATAAATGAGTGCATGGATGGGGATTGAGTAGGTGGGTGGGTAGGTGGGTGGATATATAGGTGGGTGGGTGGGTGGATGGATGGATGGATGGATGGATGGGTAAATGAGTGGATGGGTAGTTGAGTAGGTAAATAGATGAGTGAATAGATGAATGGAACAGATAAATGGGTAGGTGGATGATGGGTAGATGAATGGATGAATGCATGCATTCACGCATGAATGGGTAAATGGATGAGTGGGCAGATGAGTAGATGAGTACATAGATAAATGGGAGGGTAGGAAAAGAGTGAATGTATGGATAAATGGGTAGGTGGGGGTGGGTGATCTATTGAAGGGTAGATGGATGGAGCCTAAAATTCAAGAGACTACTGCTCTTAAAGACAAGTATTCTGGAGACTAGATTGCATTCTGGACAATGGCCTCCTCCCCAGCAGAGACAAAGCATGGAATGTGTGTGCCCTCTAGAGAGAAAAACTAGTGTGTGCACCCTTTTCCTGCTCAGAGGATGCCTGTGAACCATGGCTGCTGACCCCCAAACCCTCATCTCCATCATGCTGAGGACAGGTGTGGAGCCTCCGGGAGGCAGCAGAGACAGCTTGACAGGCCTGTGTAGTGTTCCGCTCAGATACCCACGGCTCTGCTAGCTCCACACGTCCCTCTGCCCTCACGGCCATGGGTCAACCAGAAGTGGAGCCAGCCTAGCTCATCTCACTCATGCCTGTTCTTTCTCTATCTTCCTTGCCCAGGGACTTCCAGGCCCCAAAGGGGAAAAGGTAAGTGCAGCTGGATGCTGTCTGGATACTGTGTGCTGATGAAGGAGGCCAGCAGCCAACTCCAACCTTGATTCCAGAGGGGAAAATTGAGCAAGTCAGCCCCCAACCCCCAAGCCTCAAATTCTCCATCTGTGGAGTAAAGCAGTCAATGTCAATGCCTATCGCTAAAAAGGGCCACAAGCTCATGTACCACATGCAGGGAGAGTTGGGTCTGGATTCTGGTGTCCCAGCATAACAAAACAGGCAGTTTCTGTAGTGAGCAGCATGTCTGGAGGGCTTGGAGCATGAATGGTGATGGTGGATGGTGTTATCTGTGGGGAAGACACCCCTTTAGGGACACAAATGGCTGAGGGCTATCTTGGCAGCCCCTCATGAAGAAATTGGATGGGTGGGTGGGTGGATGGATGGATGGATGGATGGATGGATGATGGGTGGGTAGATGGATGGATGGGTGAGTGGATAAATGGATGATGGGTGGGTGGGTGGATGAGTAGGTGGGTAGATGGGTGGGTGGATGGATGGATGATGGGTGGGTAGGTGGATGGATGGATGGATGGATGGATGGATGGATGGATGGATGATGGGTGGGTGGATGAATGGATGATGGGTGGGTGGATGGATGAGTAGGTGGGTAGATGGGTGGGTGGATGGATGGATGGATGAATGGATGGATGGATGGATGTGTAGGTAGATGAGTAGAAAGATGAATGAGTTAGTAAGTAGATGAGTATATAAATGGATATAAAGATGGATGGCCCATCCACTGATAAATAGATGGAGTTTAGACTCCAAAGAGCAACTACCCTGGAGGAGACTGTATGCTTCTGAACATGAGATCCAACAGCTCTGGGAAATGGCCCCTTTGGTACTTGGCTTTAAACATAGGACCCACCAAGTTCCTTGGAAAGGAGCAGAGGAGATTTGTGTGGACAAGATGAGGGATCTGGAGGAAAAAGGACCAGAGCAGAGCTCAGAGTGGCAGGGCTAAGTGAGGGCCTCAGAGGCCACATGCAGCTATGCCTAGGTAATACGAACGAACCAATCAGTGCCCCTAACTACCAACGGGGCTGAGAAAGCCATGGAAAGACACAGGACCTGAAGGCTCAGAGACTCCTCTCCACAGCCTAGATACACTACTGTGTGGTTTGGGCAAGTTACCCAGCTGGGAAGGCCTCAGTTTGTCCATCTGTATAAAAGCAGTCTCAGAGCTATGGGAAGGTCTCATGAGGTCGTGGTCTGAATGGTCCTTTGTTGATGGGTGGATGAGATGCTGGTGCAGCTGGTAGGTATCACATCTATCTTCTTGGCTGTTTCTGGCTGATGTCATCAAAGCCACAGAAACAACTCTGGGGCTTGGAGATCAACGAGAATCAGGCTCCTTTGTAGCTATTGCTACACAGCCCGTTTCAAAGCTCGTGGCTTTGTTATCTCTCCCTAGTCCAAGGTTCAAGAACTGTGAGTGGACACAGTGGGAGCAGCCACCCAGAGGCCACACTGTGTCTGGGATCTTGAATGTCTGAGATGCAGCCATAGATGAGGAACTGCCTGGCTCCATGCTGGCTGTGTGACCTCGGATGTAATCCCTTAACCTCTTTGAGCCTCACTGTCCTCATTGGAAGTGAGGAGGTAAAATAAGGCCAGCCTGTTGTTTTCATTAGAATTTACACCAAGCACAGAGTGAATGTTCAAGAGGAAATGCGGAGAAATAATGTAATCAGTGGCCATTCATTTCCCTGTGTTTGGTTCCCAGGGTGCACCAGGAGACTTCGGCCCGCGGGTAAGAATGGAGCACCACCTCCCTCATCCGCTACACATGGTTTGTTTGATATTACTATAATAAGGCATTTCTAGCATTTCTCCGGGGGTCCCAGCTCACCACAGCTTATCCCAGAAAAAAGGCAAGCGAGACAGCCTCTCCTCTCCACCTTTGCCCCCCAACCCCCGTGAAAGCCCCCAGGTTTCACCCTCACCTAATTGAGGCTGCTACCTCCCACATAGATGACAGTATCTGGCAGATGTCCTGGTTGCCATGCTTGTCGCCATGGTGGCCAGACAGTGGGGTTAGCCCTGGTCACGACCAGAAGCTGACCATCTCATGAGACAGCTGGCACTCAGGAAAAGGTGAAGGTCTTGAGGTCAGCAGTTCTGATCCCAGAGCTCAGCCCTGTCACCTCCCAGACCCATGACCTTGACGGGTGACTTTTCCCAGAAATTCAGACCCTTCAACCATGAGGCAGTAACATCTGCCACCACCAACCCCCACCCCCACCCCGCCCCACACACACACACAGCAAGTTCTGTGAAGATTCATTATAACCAGAAATGTCAATTGTTGACAGCAGGACTCAGCATGGGGACAGAAGACAGGTGTCCCCTCCAGCCTACCTGTGTCCCCTGGGTCCAGAAACCTAGAAGTGCTTGTGCTGAGTCTTAGGTGGTCCCTAAAAGTGGGTCTTGGCAGAGGAGCACTTAAGTAGCCCTAGACATGATGTCCTCACCATTTCTGGAACGTTCTGGGCAGAGTCCCCTGACTACAGAGACTAAGAGGTAGGCATTAGCTGCCCAGAGAAAGACTGGGTCATGTGGAAGAAGGTTTGGGGCCCCAGAACATATTGGTGCAAAGGCCACTCGCTCACACCAACAGTCTCTCATCTTAGGGCGGGATTGGGTGAAGAATGTGTGAGCTGCTTGGACCCAGAACACTGTCTCTGGCGGATGAAGAGAGGGGGAGAAAGGGCAGAGAGCACCACAGGCTGGAGCTCTGTGGTCAGGGTGGACAAGCAAGACCCAGCTCTGCAACTTCAAGGCTCAGAGCCCAGGTTTTATAAAATGACAATAGTGGGGCCCACGTCACAGGGTGTTTGTTGTGATAACAAGAGCTGGAGCGGGCAGGGGGATGAGACAGGCTGAGTTTTGATGAGCAGAGCTGTCCCCTGTTGGGCCATTGACAGAGGTCAGGACCAGGGCCACAGAGGTGGTGAGATTTCTCTGAAGTCAAAGAAAGGATATTTCCCTTACCATGTGACTGCTGGGGGAAATGCTGGTTTCAGATGGGATTTATGAAAGTTAATCTTCCCATAGGGTTGCCCAGCCTGCAGTGATCAGGATCCATCGGGTCCGGAGTTCACCAAATAGACCATTTCTTCCAAAGCTCCTTGCCTTCCCAGGGATACCCTGCCTCCTCCTGCCTTGCTGTTCCAGCCCTCCGTGAACTAAGTCCCCTCCCCCACAGAAAGGCTTTGGTGGCTTGAAAGGACAATTCACCCTTATCTCCCAGGGTCCCTGGAGTTAACCAAGGTCTCTCTTATGGGCTACAGGCAGAGTGTTCTGGGGGCCCAGGTGATGACGCCCCTCACAAGTTTATCATTGATGTGGTCTGCTCCCACTCAGCTAGGAAGCAGCCAATGTGGCTTCCCATGCATCCTGGGGCTTCCTCCTTATTTGGCACTGGGTTCTTAGAGAGGCTTCTGGGCGCAGCTTTCTTTCTTTCTTCCTTTCTTTTTCTTTTTCTTTTTTTGGTTTTTCCAGACAGGGTTTCTGTGTGTAGTTTTGGTGCCTCTCCTGGAACTCACTCTGTAGACCAAGCTGGCCTTGAACTCACAGAGATCCGCCTGGCTCTGCCTCCCAAGTGCTGGGATTAAAGGTGTGCACCACCACCGCCCAGCTGGGAGCAGCTTTCTAAGAAGCCGGAAGTGACAGCTGTCCCGCCTGTTAGGAGCTCCACCCAGCATCACACCTGCTGCATACTATTCTGTGCTATGCTGTGCTATGCTATTCTATGCTATGCTGTACTATTCTATGCTATGCTGTACTATGCTATGCTGTGCTATGCTATTCTATGCTATGCTGTACTATTCTATGCTATGCTGTACTATGCTATGCTGTGCTATGCTATTCTATGCTGTGCTGTACTATTCTATGCTGTGCTGTACTATTCTATGCTGTGCTGTGCTATGCTATGCTATGCTGTACTATTCTATGCTATGCTGTACTATCTATGCTGTGCTATGCTGTACTATTCTATGCTGTGCTGTGCTATGCTATGCTGTACTATTCTATGATATGCTGTACTATTCTATGCTATGCTATGCAATGCTGTGCTATGCTGTACTATTCTATGCTATGCTGTGCTATGCTGTACTATTCTATGCTTTGCTATACTATGCTATTCTATGCTATGCTGTGCTATTCTATACTGTGCTATGCTATGCTGTGCTGTGCTGTACTATTCTATACTGTGCTATACTGTGCTATGCTATGCTATTCCCTTCTATTCTAGTCTGTCACAGGAGGTTGAAAAAATGAGTATTGGTTCGGTTCAGCATACCCAGCCATAAACTGCCTTTCTCTGGGCTGCGTTAGGTGGCTTTGCCTTGTGATTTTTGCAGTCCTTTCCTGCTTTTCTGACCACACCACCTGTTTGCCATCCAGATGGTTTTCCCACGGCTCAACACAGGCTTTATAAGTAGAGATCATCGTGGGTACAATCTCCGTGTCCTTAAGGTAGACTGTCTGAGTGAGGGGGCCTGGCCTGCTAGTTTGCTGTGTTCCCCAACCCTTACTCACCCTGTGTTTTCAGGGCCAGACCTCAGCCATCTAATCCTGGAGAGAGAGGGGGGTAATTAGGAAAAAAAATAAGGAGGGGCACACACCTTACTCCAAGTAGCAGGAGGCAGAGCAGGCAGATCTCTGTGAGTTCAGGGCTAGCCTGGTCTACATAGCAAGCTCTGAACCAGCCAGGGCTAGGGATACCTAGTGAGACCTTGTCTCAAAAAACAAAAGCCTGTACAGGAATCAAAAATCGTTTCTGTCTTGATAAGTTGAGTCCAAGCCAGGAGTGCCCAATCCGGAGCCTCTGAGCTATGAGCAAATGAACAGCAGAAGGGAGAATCGAATCCTTCTGGATTCAGTCCTGAATGAAATAGGGGTGTCCACTCATCTTTACTGAGACCGGATATCCAATCGCAATGGTAATTCAGGGTCTAGACTTAAAACTCTCTGATCAGGGCCCTGGCCATGGCATACTGAGCAGGAAATCTGAGTGGTAGCCGTAGAGAGCTGCCAGTCATTTATTGAGAAAATTGAGTGATATGTGTGTGAAACACAGTCTGCCAGAGAGGTGAGCTCTTTCCTGGTAAGGGAGGAGACACAGGTGGAAAAGAATATCTGAAAAAGACCAGTTGCCATTCTGGCATGGGGTTCGAACCCCTAGAACAGAAACAACGTGCCCAGTGAGTGTGGCAGCTCACCTGTAATTCCAGCTTCAGAAGGCAGACAGAAGAATCCCATGGCAAGATGTCTGGCAAGTCAAGCCTCATCTACCAAGCTCTGGCTCTGATTAAGAGACCCTGCTTCAATGAATAGGTAGAAGAGCTATTGAGGAGGATTCCTGACATCAACCTCAGGCACATATGCATGCAAGCACGTGTGTGCCCATGTATCTGCAAACACACACACACACACACACACACACACACACGGGGAAAAAGCTAGAAATAGAAGCTGGAGAGATGGCTGATCAGCTAAGAGCACTGGCTGCTCTTCCAGAGGACGTAGGTTCGATTCCCAGCACCCACATGGCTGTTCACAATCATCTTTAACTCCAATTCCAGGGAACCTAATGCTCTCTCCTGACCTCCATGGGTACCAGGCAATATATGCAGGAAAAAAACATAAATATACATTAAATAAATGAAAATTTTAAATTTTTTTTAAAAACCTAAAAATAAATCCAGGCATGGTAGTGCATGCCTTTAATCCCAGCACTCAGGAGGCAGGGATAGGTGGATTTCCGTGAGTTCTAGGACAGCCAGGGCTACACAGAGAAACCCTGTCTTGGAAAAAAAAATTTTAAATAATTTTTTTAAAGACCAGTTGCCCTGGCAGCAGGAGAAGGTTCAGTTTTTCTTAGTTCAGTAGCCCTAGCCCTAAGTAAACAATTACCATCCCCGGCCCCCAGGCTCTTCATCTGCATGATGGGAGGTAGTTTGGCCCTGGCCAGCAGTTCAGAGAGGCTGTGTGAGACCATCTACACTCTACAGGAGGTGTTTGCGGGGTTCACAAAAGGCTTCTTCCTTTCCTGGTTGCCAGAAAGTCGGGAGCCACTACACCATGGTCCATCACCTGTGCCATGCATGTGCCATGCAGAGTGGGCCATGATGGGGGGCTTCGGCATGCCTGAGGTCTGACCTGGTACTAACACAGGGTAGAGAGTCAGAGGTTTTGTGAGATGTAGACTGTGTGACCCTTACTTGCCTGTCACTGTAAACTCACTTGCACGTGTGGTAAATAAGTCCCTGTGTACCTTTCATGCAGTTGTGCCTAAGGTGACATCATGCACCCCTGTGGTCCAACCTGTCAATCTGGAAGCCCATGGTGATTCAACCCAACCAGCCTTACTCAGACTTCCTCAGTTTACACATGCTTGTGTGTACACGAGTGTCTGCGCTTGAGCGTGAGTGTGTGAGCACAAGCGTATGTGAGTGTATGTGTTTAACTGTGTGTGCATGAGTGTGTGAGCATCTGTAAACGAGTGTGTGCAAATGTGACTGTATTATGCATGCATGTATGTATATGAGTGTGCATGGATGTGTGTATGAATGAGTGTGTGTGTTGTTCGGTTGAACCTCCAGCTCACCCCTGCATGATCTTCAAAAGCTCCATTCCTGTCTCTCTCTCTCTCCAAACCCGCCCTCTCGGAGAATCTCCAACAAAGAAAAGGGGCCAAAAGCCCAGTGTGGCATTCCTGGCGACTATTGCAACTTCCTGCCCTGTTGCCGCCAGCAGCCCGAGTCCCCGCCTGAGCACTGCAGCTTTTGGCCATCCTTGGGCACAAACCCAGCCTGTAGTGTCATCATCAGCCCTGGCCTGTATGACCTCCCAGCTTTAGTTCCCGCGTGACTTCTCCAGCCTCCATCTCTGGGACTGGAGAACCCACCTGGGAGTGGCTGTGCTCAAATAAACCTGTTCTGCTTTTTCAGTTCGGCTTGATCTGGCTTACTGTGTGGAGGAGAAACCTGTTATTGGGATACAGAAAACCTAGTGTGTGTGTGTGTGTGTCTGTGTGTGTGTGTGTGTGTGTGTGTCTTTGTGTCTGTGTGTGTCTGTTTGTGTGTGTCTGTGTGTGTCTGTGTGTACAGGTATTTTTTCTTCCATATAGTGTTAACTTACATGGACTCATAGCCCACACAAAGATCCCTCATGCTCTCCTTTCCTATATAGGATCACCTCCCTCCCTCACCCCTAGATCCTGACAACCACTAATTTCCAACTGTTTAACTTTTCCACTCAAGAATATCAGGCGCCGGGCACATATCTTTAATCCCAGCACTTAGGAGGCAGAGGCAGGCAGATCCCTGTGAGTTTGAGGCCAGCCTGGTTTACAGAGTGAGATCCAGGACAGGCTCCAGAGCTGTTACATAGAGAAACTCTGTCTTGAAAATTTTTTTAAACATTTTTTTTTTAAAAAAAAGAATTTTGCCGGGCAGTGGTAGCTCATGCCTTTAATCCCAGGAATCAGGAGGCAGGGCCAGGTGGATCTCTGTGAGTTCAAGGCCAGCCTGGCCTATAGAGTGAGTTCCAGGAAAGGCCCCAAAGCTACACAGAAAAACCCTGTCTCAAAAAACAAAACAAATCAACAAAAAAAGAATATCAAGTGTGTGAAATATCATACAGTGTATAACTTTTTAAAATAATTTTTAAGATTTAATATTTGTATTTGTATATGTGTGTGTGCCTGCATGATTGATGTACAGCATGTATATACAGTGTCTGCAAAGGCCAGAGGGTGTCAGATCCCCTGGAACCGATGTTACAGGCAGTTGTGAGCTGCCATTGCTGGGAATGGGTGCTGAGAATTGAACCCAGGTCCTCTGGAAGAGCAGTAAGTGTTCTTAACCGATGAGCCATCTCTCTAGGTCCATGTATAACTTTGGGGGACTTTTTTCATTTAGCATAGTTTCCCTATAGTACACAAGTTTTTCATGTATCAAAAATGTATTTCTAAACTGGGTGGTGGTGGCACACGCCTTTAATCTCAGACTCAGAAGGCTGAGGCAGGCAGATCTCTGTGAGTTCGAGGCCAGCCTGGTCTACAGAGTGAGTTCCAGGACAGCTAGGCTGCACAGAAAAACCCTGTCTCAGAAAATCAAAAGAAAAAAATGTATTTCTTCTTTTTTTTTTTTTTTTGATGGAGGGGTATGTTGTTTTAATTTTCATTTTCCTCTGTTTTGGTTTGGACTTTACAGTTTGGACTTTTTTAATAACGTATTTTTGGTGTGCATGTAAATATGTGTGGGCACACACACAGCACGGCACAAACATGGAGTTCAGAGGATAACTTGAGAGAGTCGGTTCTCTCTGCCCACTCTGTGGGTCCCAGAGCCAAGGTCATGAGGCTCTGGGAGCCAGTGCCTTTTTCAGTTCGGCCGTCTCACTGGCCCTGGTTTAGATGTTTTGAGACAGGGTCTCATGTATCCCAAACTGACCTCAAATTCACTATGTAGCCAAGGATGACCTTGAACTCCTCCTGGCTCTGCCCCCGAGTGACATCCTGGGATCACTATATCCTCTGTTTTTGTTTTTGAAACAAGATCTCACTTTGTAGCCAAGGCTGGTCTGGAACTCATTTTGGTTTTTTTAGTTGATTGGGCTGTTTTTGTTTGTTTGTTTGTTTGTTTGTTTGGTTGGTTGGTTGGTTGGTTGGTTGGTTGGTTGGTTTTTAAAGACAGGGTTTCTCTGTATGGCCCTGGCTGTAGCAGAACTCACTCTGTCGAACTCACAGAGATCCGCCTGCCTCTGCCTCCTGAGTGCTGGGACTAAAGGCGTGTGTCACCACCATCTGGCTCTGGAACTCATTTGTAATTCAGGCTGGCCTTAAGTTTACAGCAGTCGTCCTGCCTCAACCTCCCAAGTGCTGGGCTTTGCCTGTTCCTTTTCTGTTTACTGCTGAGTGGCATGCTATAATATGACACAGAACTCAGCCTCTCACCTGTGGGAGGGATATTTTGAGAGCTTCCATTTCGGGCAGTTACAAAGAAAGCTACCACAAATAGCCACATGCAGTTGTGTGTGAGCATAAAATAAATGCCCAGTCGTGCATGTCTGCCCCTTTTAATGCAGCCAGACAGGACACTGTCTCACCCACCCGGCACATGCCATTTCTCCTCCTGACAACAGATCCAGGCTTCAGATGCTGAGAAGGTGGCAGCTGGGTCCTGTTGGGTCTGTTCCACCAAGGTCCCCTCCTGCAGCTACCAAGAAGTTCAATTTCAAAGCCTGTGCCCGCCTCAAGGAAGGCTGGGCAAAAGGAAGACACAAGGGTTGCCCATCTAAGAAAGCCCCTTTCTGGAAGCTCGAACCTTACCGTCGCTCTCATTCTCAGGGTCAAGTCAAACCCTATGTCTTTCAGGGAGCCCAAGGGCAAGATGGAGCTGCAGGACCTCCTGGGCCCCCCGGACCACCTGGGGCCCGAGGCCCTCCTGGTGACACTGGGAAAGACGGCCCCAGAGGAGCTCAAGGCCCAGCGGTAAGAGAAGGCATGGAACTGAGGCCTCCAAGAGCTGGTCCTATGTTGGCTCACACGCTGAACCCTGATTCCCAGAGCCAACTCCCAACCAGCATTATTCTCAGCAGGCCCAACACCAACTGTTACCCAATGCACACACTCAGCCTAGACCCAACTCTGACTCCATCCGCAGCTGATCTGCTTCTTAGCCCTAATCAGGACCTTGACCTCAAATTCTGTCCCATGCCCCAGCTCAGACTATTATTCAGACTCTGCCTCTGAGCCTGACCGCAAACCCAAGTCTAACCCTAAAAGACCCATAGACCCTAACCTTGAGTTGCAAGCTCAGTCTAAATCCTCACCCCAACTCTGACCCAGAGACCCGCAGGTGAGCCCTTTATCTGCAATTCTCCACCAATCCCTATTCCTCTCCCTGCTCTCTTTCCCTCAGTACTAACTAATAATGAGCCTCAGTTTCTCCCCAAGGCCACGTGAGGCCAGTCCACAGAAAATAGTCCTCTCATCCCAGAGACTCCAACCTGTCCTTCCCTCCAGTGCAGGGACTCTACTAGATAACCAGGGGCTCCTATCAGGACTGGTCCTCTCAGTTGGCCTATCCATCCATTGTCACAATAGGTGCATAACTCCCAAAGCCTCAAGCTTCTCATCTGTGAAGTGGGGACATTATAACAACCACTTCTCAGGGCTGAAAGAAGGTGAATTTGGATGCTCTACTTAGAACCCTTGGCCATGTCCTGGCATGAGATTCAGGCTCAGTTAATGTGGCATCCGTGGGTCACTCACTCACTGCTATTTTCACATACCTCCTTAGGGTCCCAAAGGAGAACCTGGACAAGATGGCGAGATGGTGAGTGTCCAGGGTATTTGCAAGGCTAGAGTGCAGGGCTGTGGCTCCAGGGGAGGGAAGCCTGAGTGCAGGGCTGTGGCTAGGGGGGTGGGGGGAGACAATGTGCTTGGCAAAAGAGACTTCAAGTAAGAAAGACCAATTTTGCTCATAGGCTGAGGGTACTGTCCATCATTGGGGGGAGGGCGTGGTGGCAGAAGCCTGAGGCAGCTGGTCACACAGTGTGAACAGTCAGAAAGCAGAGACTTGTGAATGCTGCTGCTCACCCACCTTCCCCTTTTACTCAGTCCAGGACCCCCCAGTCCATGAGACAGTGTTGCCCACTTTTAGTGGGTCGTCCCCATTCAGCTGAACCTTTCCAGAAATGCCCTCACAGACGCACCCCATGTGTGTTTCCATGGTGATTCTGTCTGCATGTATGCCTGCACGCCAGAAGAGGGCGCCAGATCTCATTATAGATGGTTGTGAGCCACCATGTGGGTGCTGGGAATTGAACTCAGGAAGAGTTCCTCTGGAAGAGCAGCCAGTGCTCTTAACCTCTGAGCCATCTCTCCAGCCCTCCATGGTGATTCTGAATCTAATCAAGTGGACGAGATAAGCCCCCCCCCCCGCCTCACATCCCCACCCCAGGGTTATGGAGAGGTACATGCTTGTGTGCCCATCCCTGTGTCCCCAACCTGGACAGAGTTCTAGAACCTCTCTTCCTCGATGAGAGTCCCAGTTCCTCTGTCACCTTTTGAGCCCCGACACAGCCACTGCTCGAGGCGCAAGGAGGCTGCCCTAGGTCTTGGCTGAGCACCTCTGCCTCTAGCCACGCCTGCCTCTTCCTCTGCGATGTGATGTCACCCTTGATGAAAGGAAAATGACAAGACAGCCCCAGGAGCACCTGGAAGGCTGCGTTCTTAACCACTGAGCCATCTCTCCAGGCTGCATGGATAATTTTGAGAATGACTCCCCCACACACACACATACAGCAGTTTCCATGAAGTGTATCCAACTTTTTGGATGTGTCAGAATTTTGGGTTTTTTCTTTTTCTTTTT